TTCTTCCTTAGCAGACGAACGAGCGTAGCAGACGATCGGGACCGACCGACCAGGGTTGTTAGCTCACTTTGCGATTTCGGCTTTCGTAAGAAGAGCTCGGTTGTGGAGGGACATGAACACCAACCAACGATTAGAGAAAGAAAGAGGCGGAACAACAGACACACAAAAAAAAAAAAATCTGAACGGGGAGGCATTAGCGCATTGTGTAGGGGTAATTAGCGACGTCTGTAGTTCCGAGTACACGGCGACGCAATGGAGCTTTGAGAGGTAATCAGGCCAGTTGCGTGCACTCTGACCGAGTTGACGAAAAAGTAAACAGCGCCTTGAATCGAACTTCACGTTTTTACATTTGATGCGCTTGCGCTCGCCGTTGCGGGCGCTGCCTGAAAGAAACGTGCCACAATTGTGGATTTAAAAGGAACTGGCATTTTATAACTTGGTCTGCGAATCGGGCGGGTGCAACAAGAAAGCAACAGAGTGCGTCGTCTACTCCCTGCGCCTATCGGAACATGGCGCCACAAGTTTCACTTATCGCTAATTCCGTCGTCTGCGGAAACGCACGCCGTTGACATTGGCGAGTTTGTTGGTCTCATTTTTTTTAAAGGAAAAGAACTACGCCTGGATATTTTAAAAAGTGAAATCTACCATCTGGATACAGATTCAGGGAAAATTAAAAATTTCTTTGTGCAAGTGCCATTTTTGTTCTTTCTGTTTTAAAGCGTAGAAAACATTGTAGCTACCGTATATTATGAGCTGAACGTTTGACTACGCTTGTTCTCTTTCCCTTACTATGTTTCGGGCTTTCACTGTCATAGCGGATCTTGCCCTGTGATACAACGTTGCAGATGTTACAGTTCAGTACCTACTTGTGTATGCCGAGCGCAAGTTCGTACGCTTCTTACGCAGTGGTTGCGGTGACGTCATAACGTGGCCGAGGTCTGATTGGCTCGATAGGAAGGATTGTGGGTAGACCTTAAGGCAGCTAGCGTTGGGGTCTATCCACTATCCTTCCAATCAAAGCCAGTCAGAACACGGCGTCTTTACGATGTCACCGCAACCCCCCCGCAAGAAGCAGACGGCTTGGTTTCCGCTTAGCTGGATCCACCAATAAGATCCTTAACTGTGATAAAAGCTAGAAAAATGGCAGACCACATACACGCTGCCTACCGCTGTAAAACACGATTGAAAGGTGCCTGCATCTAAGCGCGCACACAGACACACACGCATGCACACGAATAAACAGAGTTCAGCAAACGCCTTTTCCATCCCGCGCACGCAGCCGCACGTCCCCGCGATGAACAAACAAATCCTAGTCAAGCAGCCAACGTCGCGAAAACAACGACCCTGCCAGAACAGCAGCGGCGGCAGGCGAGACAAAAAGGCTCGATGTAGCCTAGGGGTAGGGTTTAGCGAAACACGGGCTCCTCCCTTTGCTCATGCGCGCGGGCAACTCAAATCCTAAATAATTTGACGCGCGCTCGCGGGCAAGAAAGTGGATGGGTGGCTGCCGGAAGGAAGGAAAAACGGAAGAGAAGGAAGTGGAAGGGCGAGCGAGGTAGCACCGATCGTTGCCGCGGACTCCCGGCTTACACCAACGCCTCTCTTACAACTTCGAGGAAGGTATTCGGAGGGAAAAGGCGGCATTAATAAAAATTATCATTAGCGCCAAGGGGAGGAAGGTAACTAGGAACTAAAAATACAAAAATACGACGGGAATACTCGCGCATAAAAAGAAAAAAGAGAGAGAAAGGGGGGGGGGGGGTGCGGGAAAATGTGCCCGTGTGGAAGAGGATTATTATCTGGGGGGGCCAACCGGCGGATGGAAGACTAGGGGAAGGCGATGCATCAGAGACGACGTATGTAGCGTAAACGTGTCAAAAATTTCGATGTTGGCGCACCGTCGTTGGACCGGAGAGATAAGGGAGGCTTCGGTGGTGCTCACCGCCGATACGAAGGCCGTAGCAAATTCGTCTCGGATTAGAAGAGAGACAGAGGCGAGCAAAGTAAAGAAGGCGCCCTCTGGGGAAAGCGGAATTCACGTAGACCGAAGACGAGGGCTGCTGATAATTTTGGCTTTCTTTTATTTCGTCGTAAATTATGAGCCACGGACAAGTACACCCGATGAACTTGCTAGGAAGCTGCTCTTTAGCAACGGGACATATCGCAGGGGTTGCACATTTGTGGCGCGACTGTACGAAGTTGAGGCCTCTGTACGTTTTGCGGCCGTGTGTTATGAAGGCGTAAGCGTCACTTGTCCTGTTATACGAAAGGGCGTCGGCGTTGTGCCCGAAAGATGGCCATAAAAATACGTCATTAAGCAAGCGCCGCACAAGGTCGAAGCGGAGCGCCTCAGAAATAAAACACAAAGAAAAGCACAACAACGCAGATGCCTCGTAACGGAAGCCGTCGTGAAGCCGGCGGGGTTCGCCGCGCCTGCGCAGTGGGGGGAGCGTGATGTCACCGGGCGGAAAAAGGAACTTGTAAAGAGGAAGACGTGGCACGCTGCTTGTAGGAATGCTTTCGCATTTCTACACATAAGCGGTCTTAAGTGTGGCTGCTGAATTGTTTAAGGGATTGGAAAGGGAGGTTGATGGCGTTAAATTAGCATGCACAGACATCCAGGTTGCAGTCGCCTTTAGGTCCTTCATACGAGAGAAGTTTCAGCTCCCGTAACACCGAAGAGGCATCCTGTGTGACATGACGAGACGGTTCACGGTCTCTCACCTGTCTGTTAAAATGACCGCCCGCTTTCTTTTGTTGAGCTATAGGCGAAGCCACATCCAACCTGTCCTGGCGGTGAGCTATCTTAACCAGTACAATATTAATATCGTTGCCATTTAATCCACTTGATCTTCGCAGAAGGCGATAGTTTATTAAATTTGCTTTGCCTTTTTTTGACGAATCTCATAGTTTCATATGCGTCACTCTTTGGTCAGATCTTGGATGCCCATAATCAGCTATGGTGTGGAACTCCTACGGCCCGTTCACACATTTGCGTCTTCATCCAATGCCTTAAAATAAAATATTTTATGATGAGAGAGCACACTGGCACACTGGCGCCATCTATACGGTAAACCTAGAACTGCATTTGACTAGAGCGCAGGTTTTGCAGTAGTTGCGAGATAAAAAAAAAAGGTGTAACGGCTGACAACGGATGAGAGGAGAGACACGTGACTGGCGCCCCGCTGTGGCGAAACGCCGAAATACACTGCACCTGAGCGAACAAGTGCCTTTCGGGTCCTCGCCGCTGCAGAAGCTGTGGGCAGACGTCCAGGTTTCCCGAGAAATGGCTCTTGATGCTTTGTGCTACCAGACCCTCGCGCTCCAAATCTGCGACCGAGCACTCTATGGCTCCTTCGTCGAACTGCCAGGCTTTGTGAGAATAGAAGAGGCTATGCTTGAGGCTTTGGTCGTCGCTTCCCTCACCCGAAGCTCACATGACTCGCACGAGCTCTGGGTTTGTTCCGGTGAATGGACCTTTTTCCAGTAAGCGTCTGCGCACGCGCACACCCTTTCCACTTGACCTTGACCGTCCTTTCGCCATTTTTGGGAGGCACTGTCTTCTTGCGACACTAATCTGTTCCTATGGGAGAAGGGGGATTCGGCCAACTCGTCGAAAGCCAACTCGACGACGGCCAACTTGTCGACGGATAATTCGTCGAGTAGGCCAATTCGTAATAGGGCAGTTCGTCGAAAGGCAACTTGTAGAAAGGGGCAATCTGTCGAAGGGCGATTCGTCGAATAGGTTGAATGACGTTCCGTGGTAAAAGTTCGTGGTTCCTTGTTATCTTTTGACCTAAATGTTTATTTCTATTTGGACCAGAGACTGCGCCCTCCTTAGGTTACAAGACGGAAAGAAAAATCACAAGAGGGTGAATGCGGTACAGTATTTTGAAACAAGTTAAGAAATGCTGATTTCAGAATCGTCCTTTTTATTATTATTTTTTTACTTTTTGTAACGAGCCGCCGCCAACTGTAGCCACGAAGCGGCGTAACTGGTGGGCCAGGTGGGTTAGCATTTCTGTTATAAGCCGCCGCAGACTATCGCCGCGAAGTGGCGTGAACGGGTGGGCGGGTTAGAGTTTCTGTATAGCCTTCCTACGGGAGCCAGAGTTGTGCGTTCATCCCCGTAGCGCCGTCTTTCCTGCATTTCAAGTTGATCCTGCTCCTTACGTGACTGAATTTGGCGAATAGCGGCGCCGCGCCTTCGAGGCTTGCGGCGCGCTCAAAAGCAGGGGAACGTACGGCGAGGCGCGCGCAACGTCTGCTTTCCTGCACGGCATTTGATCCGGCTCCTCACGTGATCGGATCTCGGCGAATAGCAACGCGGAGGCTCGTGGAAAACAGACTCGTAACTCTGGCTCCCGTAGGGAGCCCATACAGGAACTCTAGGACGGGTTGGTTAACACGCGCCCCTGAGATACACGCGCGACGTAGTGTTGTTGTTGTTGTTGAGTGTTGTTATCTTCGACAAGAAAGAGCACACTGGAGGTCTATTACCGTGCGGCGATATTACGCATTACTATAGGGCAGGAGTTTTATTTAAAATTTCAGGACAAAAATTATATATTTATGGCTTTGAAACAGCGGCGATCAGTTGGTCTCTTCGACGAGTTTTCCTTCGACGAATTGCCCTATGACGAATTGGCCTATTCGACGAATGGGCCGCCGACGAGTTGGCCGTCGACGAGTGGACTTTCGACGAGTTGGCCTAGACCCGGGAGAAGGCGAGTCCGGTTGCCCTCCATTTGTAGTAGGCGGCGAAACCGTCATGGGGCACTCCTAACTGGAAAAAGGTCCATTGCAGCGTCCGCTCTCGTACAATGTAAGGCGAAACGGCGCATAGAGGTTCTCTTCCGGCAAAAAAATGAATCTAAACCGAAAAAAAAAAAAACCGTTTAGTCTTTACATTAGCGAATCTCAAATTCTAAGCTGCCACGTTGGAAGCGTGCGTGGCAAGAGCTCACCATTTACGTTTGATGGTCCCGTTCCCGACGCAGACCCCGGTCAAGTCCTGCACCTGGGCACGGACCCGCACTGGGGCCCCTACCAGCACTACTCGACGTACCTGGCGGCCGCCGGACCCTTCGCGGCAGCGCCCTTCGGTCTGGACGCGTCGGCGGGGCCGCCCCCCGACGGGTCCCCTTCCTCCTGTCCCTCCAGCGGAGCCTCGCAGCTGACCCCCGGTGAGCCCCCTTCCAAGGACGGATGCTGCACCGAGGCTTCAGTCGCACTGCTCACACATCACACACAAAAAAAAAAGACAAAAATAAATTACGGTGTGTGTTGTAGACATGGTGAAAATATCGTCTGCTGACGCTCCTCAAGCATGCACGGAGCGCGTGTTTGCTTCGTCCGTATATATGCTTAGAACATGACAGCAGACAGTTTTTATAAGGCCAACGTGTCAGGATCGTGATTGAAGGAAGAAACATGCCGCAGGCAGTGGCTGCAGACTGTCGTTTGCACGACGTATGAGCAGTGCGACCTCGACTTAACGGGAAAACTGCGTTACTGCATAGCTGCCAAACATGCGCACACATTAAAAAAGAATGCTTCAATGGGTTGGCGTTTCCGCAGGGTAAGCTTGAAGAACGTTTTCACCTCAAAATGAGCTACGCATTCAGATGATTAACGTGCTAAGCAGCGCAGCAGCAGGAGGCAGGATTTCGGTCTGCTTTAAAGGTGTGACGGTACCGGTTCACTCTCTACATGAGCAACTTAACGAGTATAGTACGACTACTAACTCGGGGTGCTTATAACGTGAGTCATGCAGCTGGGATACACGAGCGCACGCTGGTACAGTGCTCACTTGGATCGAATGGAGCAGGAGTCAAGAACCCAAGGGTGGTCCAGAAGCTCTGCGGCGCAAGCTTCCGCATCGCGTGTTCTTCGCTTTGTCATTTCCGAGCTCCTGTCTAGATTGCAGTTATTTAGTCTCTCGATACTCTGGGGTGTAGCGGAAGCACGCAAAGTTTTCTAGTTTCAAAAAATAAATCAACAGTGCCGCATTTTTTTTTTATTTTTTCGCGAAAGGTCAGCTGCCGCATTCTGGCTTTTCGGGAGACATCTTTTCAGAGAACTCGGGCATAGCAGACTCTGCTACCTGATCGCCCAGCATAAACTGGGCCAAGGGAAGATGGATACTATAATTTAAATAAACGAAAGTATTCGAAGAGAGCGAGCAGCTTCGACTTGCGAAAATTCGCTCGCGGGAAGAACCTAGCCAAGATGCTTCCAGAGTCTAAGGAGCCTTCTCTGCGTCGAATCTTCGTCTATGAGATCGGGGCGAAGGCCGCTAAGGGGAATTATGACGGACAAAGAAGTGGATCCCGAAAAAAACGCAAGGAATACAAAGAGAGAGTACTGAGAAGTGGCTCCCATCGAATGAATTGGAATCGAGGCAGGAATTGGAGCTGGTGAACAGCGGCCTCATTTCATTTGGAAAAGAAGCCACTCGCTCCGTTTCCATTGGTACCGGGTCGACCTCCAATGCCTCCCTAGGTCCCTACACCTATAGGGTAAAACTGGGCTTTTGTTACGAATGAAATTGCCTCTCATCGCATTTGTATAACAAAAAAGGGGGTTTGCGTTTTTTTTTTTTGTGAGCTCTTCTTTTCGAGACGGGGCTTTCTTCTCATCAAGCGCGTCATCCGCGCCAAACCCGGAAAGATGGGGGAGGCCTTTCATTTCCGATGGTTTGAGAATTCTGTAGCCTCTTCGCCTGCGCACTCTTTCTGATCGCTGCTTGCTTCTCTCGCAAACTCTGTAACTTCTCTCACTCTCGCCACCCTTCTTCTCGGGGTGTACCTTTTCTTTAGTATTTTTTATCGTGCTTTATCACTTCCTTTCTCCCTATCTCGATATCTTCCGCTTTGCTTATCGCTGGTCGCGCTTTCGCTGCCTTCTTTTTGGCGTTGTCTCAATCTCGATTCTGTACGGCGCTCGTGTTCAAATCAAATAAATTATATATGCACTTGGGGAAGAAAAATACCTTATACATACAATGAGAAGAAAGGAACTCACGAGAACAACAAAATAGGACAAAAACAAAATGTAAATGAATAAACGGAAAGGGGTTTCCTCACTGTTTCACCACATGTACTAACGCAAAAAAAGTTTCTCGCTTGCATTGTTTTTGTTGCTTCATTTTTGGAAAGGTTCACGTTGAGAAGTTTCTACTACGAAAAAGGCTAAGCTAACCGGCATAACGCAAAATATGTACCCTACAAAAGTGAAAGAGCGAAATGATTCACTAAAAATTGTAATAGAGGTGAATAGAAACTAAAAGAAACACTTTCAAAGGCTAAAAATCACGAAGCGGGGGTGTCTTTTTTGTGGGTTTAGTTCATGAACGAGAACGCTTGCGGAAATAGAATGTGTCGTTGCTGATATTTATAGTCAGGAGTACATTTTCTAGGTTTACCTAGCTTTAGTTGTACGAATTTTCATTGCCCACCGCCCCCCCCCCCCCCCCCGCCTACAAACACACACACCGATACATAAAAAAAGTATCAAGAATACTGGAGGCGTAAGAGAACGAGGGGAGAACGGTACAAGGTTGCGCGCTTAGAAAGTTTATCTTGATGTTTAATCTTTCCTGCAGCGCGCCACCTCGACTTCGATTGGGGTCTCCCTTCCCAATTTCCCACTTTCATTAATTATTTTACTTCAAACGTCCCCCAACCGACCGACCGACCTTTCGCGGCGGTTTCCCTTAACTCCTACTTTGCGCTTTGTTTGTGTCTCTTTGTTATAGCTTCTCCTCGCGTTTTGCGCAGTTAAATGAATCCTTCGAAAACCCTTAATTCTTGGCCATGGGGCTGGAAACATTGTGCGGGGGCACCCGTAAAAGCAAGAAACACAAAATAAAAGTCGAACTGCAAAAAAAGAAAACAAGAAAACTCACATTTATACGCGCAAACCGAAGAAAAAAGAAGAAAAGAAAAAAAGGAGCGAGAGACAGAGAAAGAGAGAACTCTCCTGAACTGTGGCTCTGCAGCGCTATCGCCACCGTCATTAAACTCAATGGTGTCGCCCCCAATCGGGAGACGTGCGAACGATATCCACTTATTTTAAATTAGGAAACGCGCACGGTATACGACCGATCCCCCACACCCACGCCGACTGCTCTTTGCATTCTTACTTATTTCAGGGCGTTTTATTTTGTAAGTTTCGTTACTTCTACTTATTTTCGCCACTTCGCGAATCACTTATTCCCTGTTCAAATAATTGCGCGCGAAGTTAGCGCCGCACGGTGGCGAGCCAGGAGTTGGAGTGCCCGAAACGGCGAGCAGAAGGAAAAAGCAGCAGACGACAGAAAACCAAAGGAAGCCAGGGAACGAAATAGCCTCGAAACCAAAGGGTTAACGGTCTTTTGCGTGTAAAGTTTTCCCAAGTGCTTATTAGCGCCTTCGACCGCGCCATATTCGGTGCTTATTTGCAGCTTTACGCACGGTACGTGGGGCGTCTTCTTCGGAGAGGCTACACTCAAATTTGATTAAATTCTTAAGAAATAAAACGATAAAAGTCGGAAGAGGGGCGTAGGGTACAGCTCAAACTTTTGCTAATGCTTCATCTGCTTCCCTGCTTGTTTTGTTTTTTTTCTCTTTTTTTTTCGCGCGATGCAAATATTACGATTTTGTTTTGGCATTACCGCACTGCAGAGATAACAGGGTTATAACTTATAAGGGCCATGACCGCGGCAAAGTTGTCTTTAATGGAAGCGTATATGAAGGGGGAAAAAATGTCGTTGGCAAAAGACGCGGTCGTTGTGGGTGTGTAGTGGAAACTTGGCCGAGAAAACTGAAAGGCACGAGAATTAATGTGAAACGATCCGTCATCCGGAATTTAATATCGGTCCTTGTTTTCTACTGTTTGCCTCTAGCAATATGTTTATATTTAACATACAGGCATTTTGAAATTTAGTTGCGTAATTGTGACTTGTGCCTGCGCTGCAAGTTTTAGGAATGATTACCAGCTACAATCGTCAAGAATAGTAGAAGAGCAGAACTCGACAAACTAAATTATTCTCTTACCTACTTGACAGCACTGTTTCGGTTCCTAGTCTGCTAGGGCTGGATTTCATAATAATTTATATCGTTTGGACCAGTCGCATTTGTCTTGAGCTTTCTGAGACAAAAGTCACGAGCTCTGTCATCGAATCTCTCCAGTGGATTTTTCTTGTTTTACAGTTTTGTTTTGCAACATGGATGCTCTGAGAATCTATAGAGAACTATATTCCCCACATACCATTTCTTAAATAAGGCGTCTAATTTGTTTTTTATAAATAATTTATATATTTTGACGTCATGGCCCTATCAACCAATCCTGGATTTTCGCGTCACGCCACCGACATCGGTTTTTCTGCGTCACGAGCTACTTAACGCTATCGTGTTAAAATTATGACGGCCTGAAGAGTGGAACACGCGCAATGCTGTTTCTTCGAGCCGAGCGATAACGGATTTTTCCTCCCTTTCTGTCTGACGGTTCAATTACTACCGGACAGCCAGCATAAAAGGCTTTGCTTATGTAGTGTACCGAATTAGCTGATCGAGGGTTAGTGTCTGACGCTGTTATGTGTGACTGAGTTGGCATAAAAAAAAAAAAATGCCGATGTCGTGTTCGTACTAACGGTGTGGGACAGCAGCAGTAAAATACCCAATAAAGTTTGATGCTTGATATAAACTTCTCTTGGATAACAATCAAGCAATGTACAGTATTCCGCGTTCTGTAGGAGAGTGTCGTAGATTGCTTACAACAGTTCTTATCTGCACTGGGGAGACATCAGAAGTCTGATGTGGGTTTTCGTTGGGCTCTTTCCAGGTGAGCGCTCTAACGGCTCGAACAGCAGCGTTCCTGGCGGCGGCACAGGCAGCAGCGCGGGCGGCGGGGACCCACCGGTGGCCGACATCACGCTCAAGGTGGACCCCCTGCTCCTGGGCCGCTACGGCAACGCCGTGGACCTGTGCCTGTCGGACAGGCTCTCCGAACTCCGCCAGGGCCTGGCCGGCTCTAACGGGGGATCGGGATTCGCGCACCAGGTAAGACGCTCGTATTGAGTCAACACTGAACAATGACTCTTCAACGTTGCTTCCTGTCACGTTGCGGCCGCGACGGCATCTCCTATAGGTAGCGAGGCTGCACAGTGCTGAATGTTCTAGGTAAGGCGGTCAGCGGGGATTAGACACGAGCGCTGAGTCGCCATTGGACTGGTCGAACACGAGCCCCAACCAAACGCAGCATTCGTACCGAATGTTACTTACCTCCAATAGATGGCGTGAAAATCCAGTATTGCGGCCTTGCTATCTGGAGGTGTTACGCAAGGCCACGGCCGGGCTCCAAGCACTGTCATAGGTGCCCAACTTCGAAAGAAATTGGTCGAAATCGAATTTAGATTATTAAGAAACTCTTCGATTTCAAGTAGAAACCAGAGTGGCCTATTCTTTTGCACACTCATAAATTTTCTTTGTGTGATCTGCTCCGCAATTGCTTCGGACGACGGCCATTTCAATGATCTACGTTTAATCAAATTAATCGCCGAAGAAAAAAAAAACCGTATGACCATCTGACGGCAGTAGCATCGAGTGACACTACAGTGGTCCAATCGGTATATAACTTGTAAGAAGTTGAAGTTTTTTGTTTTGTTTTTGTTGCCGAGACTTGATGACAATTGTAGTTACATAACGCTCGAGCTTTTTACTAATATAGTTAAGTCAAGATCAACGATTGGTGTTTTCAGTTCATCATAGAACGCACACTTTTTCAGAGCGTGTAAGATTCCAAACGAATTCTGAACACGACGTCACTTAAATTTACAAACTATTTAACCAAAGTTACTCTTATGATACTTAAAGTGAAATAATAATAACAAAAAAGGGGGCAGGCTTTTCACTTTATGACTCATGTTTTCGGATACAAAAAAAAATTAATTGCGTTAAAACAAGTTTACTTTTTCAGCTCAATTGGTTCTTACGTACAACGTGTCATAGGTTGGCTGCGCTAAAGCACTGATCATGACGCTCACAAGTTCAGTATTCCAGCGCATATCGCAGTTTCAAGTATAACGTTACAATGGCAGTACCATGTGATTTGGTGCTACTCATCTATAAATAGAGATAATTTGATTTTGCACGCCGCACGGAATAGTAGACGCGAAGACTTCGCTCATGAACCATTTGTTTCACATTCGAGAAAGTTAGGGTAGGCCTACCTAAACACTTAAACCATCTGGATGTAAATTCTTTTAGTCACAAATATTGCCAACATTTAGATTTTCAGTATAAAAAACCTTCATAACATTCAATCAATATTCAGTAGCAAAATTATATTGCTGGCATATTCACTCACTTTCTTGTTCAATGAAATACGCAATGAAGTTACCAGATGCAGACACAATGCGTTTGTCGTGTACTCATCTGACGCCCTACCAATTGTATATGTCTTTCTAAGTCACATCGAGGTTAGTTAATCACTGAAAGGGCTTAGAGAGACGTACAATTGGTATCTGCTCGTTACAAACTGACCAGCTCGGCCCCAGCAACTGACAGTCGTTGGCAACTGGCTGGCTATGCATGCTTCACAATTTTTGGCTTACTTTTCCTCACCCTAATAGCTAAAAGAGAAAAGAAAAAAAACAAAAAAAAACTAAAAGTACAGTTGATTGATTTCCGATCGTCGCATAAAATCTCAACCCCAGCTATTTACAGTTGATATGCCTGAAAACTAAGCTGGGGCATTGTTCTTTTCACAGCCGAGCACGACGTCCGGGAGCCTGCTGGCCACGTCCGCGGCGGCGCCCTACCTCACGCACGCGGCTGCCGGCTACGCGGCCGGTCTCCTGGGACCCCACGGCTACTACGGAGGCCCCAACGGAGCCTGGGGTCCCGTTGTGGCCCCGTCTCTCCTCTACCCCCAGCTCTATGGCTCCATGGGCCAGCCGCACGGCCTGCACCCCGGGCTGCAGCTCCTCCGCCACGAACTGCGGGCGGCCACCATCCACTCGAGCCAGGACGAGTCCGTGTCCCCGGACCGCAGCGCCACAGCGTCGCCCACGATGGACAGCGACGTCAGCTGCTCGTCTCCGAAGCCCCTGAGGTCTCAACATGACGACCCGGACCAGAGTGACCGGAGTGTCTCGCCGAGTGAGGACGTTAAGAAACCGGCCTTACAGGGCACCAAGTCGACGCCTCCGCCGCCCCTACCGGTGCCCATGTCTGTGTCCAGTGTCCCGGACACCAGGACGAGTACAGTGACGAGCGGTACCACAAGGACCACTGGTCCTCTGACGAACACCACGAACGGACACACCAGTACGGACTCCTCGCTCTGGAGGCCGTACTGAGACAAAAAGTGTAACGAAACAACGACGTGGGGACCTGCGTGTGTGTGCGTGTGTGCGTGTGTTGGATGACTCCGGTTGAGTGCGCGTGTGGCTTGCCGTCTTGACAAGTGGTCCGGTGAGGCAACGATTGGTCGGCGGTTTTCTTTTCCCGGTCGAGCGGTCGCGAATCAGCTTGGAAAGACCGAAGGAGCTGGACTCACGTGTACATAATAGGGTGCTAGGGAACCTCCAAGCTGCGCGGATATCGAAGCGTTACTTTTTTTTTTCTCTCTTTCCCCATCTTTCATCTGTTTTTGTGCGCTACGCTCATTACAGGATAAATTTTTATATGTGTGACTACGTGCACAACTATTAGGCACAAAATGCATCTAAATGAAGATTGCGCGCAGTGTGATGGTCCAGGTGACGTTGGCGTATAAATAAAAAAACATTTCTTTTTGTGGAAGACACGATTGTTCCTGCTTCAGTGTTTTGGTTTCACCTTCCGGAAAGGCAGCCTTCTTTTTTCGAACACGGTCTCTGCTCATACCGGTTGCAATATGGCATACGGTTGAATTGTCACCTCAGCGTAATACACGCCAAATTGCCTACATGTTAGAACTAAGGGGCTTTACCACACCGCCTCGATGTCTCTTATATAAGTATGGTGGAGGGACCAAATATAATTTTATTTTGGTTCCTTATACCCTTAAAGCGCCTGCGAATGACTTATCACAAAAAAGGGGGAGGTGGGCTGTAAACATCAAGACAAACAAAAGTCTAGCTCCACATGGACTAAATAAGCATACACCAAACTTGGTTAAAAAAAAAAAAAAAACTCTTTCTGCTGAGCGTTATACATACTTTCAATTTAACAGCGATTGAATTGATTCTTGTTTCTTGTTGAATTAATTTTCGTCGTCACGTCACTCACGAGACGACCGACTGGTCGTCACACTAAGGCCGGGGTCACACTGCTTATACATCATACAAGACAGTCTACAAACAGGCTCGAACGCAAGTCACCACGAGATCCGTGCTTCGAATGCCGCATAGAAACGAGTTCTAATAGAAACTTGAAATGCGGCATTCGCGTACCAAGTTCGCTGAAAATTCGGGGGTTATTGGAGTTAATTTTTGTTAGATTTCCAATTCTTTAAATTCGGAGTTTATTTGACCGCGTTCCACATAAAAAAGAAAGAAAAATCAAAAACGAAATGAATAAAGTCCAGGTATCATGACCTGCTGTCCTGAAGGATCCTCGACGTGCTAAAAGGCAAACCCTTTTTGTCAGTAGTTCGAGATTTGAATGGAAAGTGAAGTGGCATCTCCATAGGACCACTTATCCTGTGCTCTCATTAAGTTTATACGTAAAACACCGTTTTTTTTAATTTTTTTTTTGTGTGTGCTCGAATGGTCGTGTTTTTCGGATAAATCCGAATGGACTAAAAATTCACCGGCGAGTGTTTTTCAGAATTTTTCCGGATTTATTTGAAAGCACGGAACCCTGCTTATAAATTAGACTTAAGAAATCAGACGCCACGGAATCGTTTACCGCTTCCTATATTGCTTTTTTTTTACATTCATGCCAATTATGAGTGTTCAGGTTTCTGTGCACATGTAAACGTAACCAAGAGTGTTTACCTATCCGTCTAGTAGGTTTTTCTTAAATACTTTACAGATTGTGGTGGTGGTGGTAATGGTGGTGGTGTTTGCCTGACGTGAGGTTTTTCTCACTGGCTGTGGAAAAGTTTCACGGGCTTGGGTTATTGCAGTTTTTATGAGAATGAATGCAAGGGAAAGGAAGGGGAACAGATGGCGATGAGAAATATAGGATGATGAAACACAAGTTAACAAATTGAAGTAATATAAAGAGTCGGCAAGAAATCAGTCAAAAGCGAGAAAATGGGCACATCTAGAACGCGAGTATCACAAAATGTTCACAAAATTCCCGCAGGAAACTTCACGAGAAAAACTATCACTGGCACACAAGCACGAAAAAAGAAGTGGGTGGCCGTATTTTCTCACTCATCACAGCCGTGCCAGAAGCCCACAGGCATCCAAGAAGCTAAACACAGTCTTTCGGAGACGTGTGCACGTGGATGGTGGACCCTTGAATAGCATATCCATGAGGGTGGGTGAAACACCGAGTCTCTTCAGTGAAGCTAAAAGCATAGTTCGTTCTGCATTGTAGTGTCCACATTAAAAAAAAAAATATATATATATATATGCGTCAGCGTTTCTGGCTGATCGCAGTGCTCGCAGCAGGGGCTGGTTGTTTTTTTGATGCTGTGCAGGTTCACTTGCGTGTTCGCGCAGTCTGCTCTTAAGCGGTGGAAAAGGGAAGCGAACTTCCGAGTTAGGCCACGCGTACAAGCTGGAGGAGGAGGTTCATCAGACGCCACACTGGAAACGGGATGCTTGTGTTGTATCCAAGTCTTATTAGCCAACCTCGGGTCAGAGCGGCTGGGGAGATTCAACGTCGCAGTGGGCAGTTTTAGAGCGGTTGAGGCCACAAGGTCAGCCATCTCATTTCCGGGTAAGCCAATGTGCGAAGGCATCCACTGTACTCGCAGGTTAGAGCCATGGGAGACAAGTAGATGACCGAGATTAATTATTTCACGAACCAAATCGGGATTGGCGCCTTTGCGTCTGAGGATATTATGCACCGCACACCCAGAGTCTGTTGCCAAAAGCCAGTTATTTGGTGGTTTCGTCGTGGTATGAAGAAGAGCTGCGTGGATTCCACTTAGTTCAGCTGTAGTCGACGAGACGGCTTGATCGGACCGTCCTGACCATGAGCAGGGTTCTGAGGGGATGTGCTAAGCTGCAGACGGGACACAATGAATGAAGTCGACAGAGCCATCAGTATAAATGGTTGTAAATGAGGAATGTCGAGACGTCATCACCTCCTCTGTCAGGGCTCGACTAATCACGCAGTGGTGTCGTGATTTTCCGTGGAAACCCGGGATGTCCTCGTAGATGGTGAACGGGTGCTTTCTCCACGGGGAGTCAACTGGAGAAGAATGGACGGAGGGTTTGAAGCCGAGAGCCTCAACTAGAGAGGTGCAGTGACCCCTATTGTGAATGATGATTGTATATCTGATTCGCGTGTTCGTGAAAGCAGCGATGGTAGCGTTGCCATTTGTGAGTTTTAGTATTGCGTATACGTGCAAACGCAAGCACTGGGCGTTTGCGTTAGCACTGCTTGTTCCACACTGAGCGTGCGCGGAGCTTCAAACTGCTTCATAGATTAGCGAATGGAGACGACGCGCATGCGCAGTCTAGAGCACGCAACGCTAACGCAAACGAACACCACTTGCGTTCGCTTCTATACGCAATACTAAAACTCTATTGTCGCTGATCAGTTGATCTAGCGTATTGACTGGCGCAAGTCAGTTCGTTGATCTAGCGTACGTTTTAAAGTGATAGCTTTCGATGCATCACTCTAAAAAAAATGCTGTGCGTCTACTTTCCCGCACAACACTCGGAGAGCCAATCACCGCAACTTACGGAGGAAGCTCAGCGAATGACGATGCCGAAACATATGTTTAGACCAAAAAACGCAGTCTGATTTGTGACATTAAGCAATGCAAAAAACGTCACGCTGGCATTGCTTATTGTCACAACTCAGACTGCCTTTTTTTATGCTTCCGAATCGTCATTCGCTGAGCTGCCTTTTGCGGTGATTGGCTTTCCTAGTGTTGTGCGGGAAAGTAGAAGCACGAGCATTTTTTAGAGTGTGGGAACCCCTCAAGGACCTCGCTTGCCCGTGTTGGCGTTGGTCAGGCCGTAGCAAGGTCATGGGAGGGAGTGTCAGTCACAAAGTGCAGCTATTACTTTGAAGTCAGAGCGAGCGCGATCAATGGCGTAGCACCGCGAGGAATGGAGGCAGGAGGGAAAGGTAATCTGTGCGCTAACCTCTCCCCCTTCCACCCCATCCGCTGCGTAGGAACGGGGTCTGTGTTGTAGGGTAGGAACCGCGTATTAGTAGAATCGTCTTCTAAAATATTAGGTTAGGTTAGTTGGTTCAACATACCGAATTTATAAAGCGCAAGGGGCAGACACGGACATGAAGTAGACAAGTGAAGCAGATTGTTGTGCGTATGTTTATACAGCCGGAAGTTAGTCTGGCTCAGTGGGCTTTTGGTGTCTCAGCTGTAGATGAGCAATTTAGCCAGTGCGGTACAACCGCTAGCCTGGAATCTTTAGCGTGCACCACGCAGTAGTGATACACGACCGCACTCGGTACGACGCTCATTCAGATCTAAACGGGCAGGGGTGGGGTTGAACCCTGGATCCCGGGGTTCTGCAGCTCGAGCTTTCGCTCCACGTGCTCCGAACTGGTTGAAGTATAAAACCCCTGTATCTTGGGAAAAGTGGCGCCATTCACTGTTGTGGAAATGCTCGAGGCCACTTCTCGAGGCACGTTACGCGCGCCACTTATGGGAAGGACATGGCGTCTATCTCAGTGCTGCGCTGTGCCGCCATGAACTTCCTAAGGCCTGCACGTTGCACGTGCCTCGTGCATCGACGAACCTTCCGCTACTTTTATAACATGAAGGAGCTTTAGTTGAAGCAGACAGGACAGCGGTATACTCACAGCTGGGGTTTCAATGGAAAACTAAGGACGAGAAGAAATAAGTGATAATAGTTATACGGAAGAAAAAAACTGACGAAAATAAAAGAAAGAAACGAAAGAAGTATCAGGATCATAGCAAATGTAGATATAAATTTGATATGTAAAAATTAATAAAAAATTAAAACTTAAAAATTTATTTTTAAGGTCATTAAAAAGAATGACTGTAACGTTATTTAAACAGGACTTTGCAGAGTGAAATTTGAGATAATCATCCACCTAACTAGAAGCCTTCTGACACCTCAGGAAGGGTGGTGGAGGTAAAATAGTTCTTTGTCTGACAAGGACACGGAAGGTACACTGACGCAAACCACAAGTCTTGATAGTCTGCGCCTCGTAAAGTTATCTTGACCTTTTTTTTTACGCCACAGTCCGAGGACGTCTGTCTTTTTGAAGATCGGAGTACTGTGGCCGACACGGACGTGCATTGCGAGATGTCCTGCCGGTGAGGGGTTGAGATATGCTGCATGTTCCCGCAATCTTGAATTCACACACCAACCAGATTGTCCCACAGAAACTTTTCCGCAGGTGAATAGTATTTTGTGTACTATACCGTTGCGGCATGGTATATATTTATGTATATATGGTATATATTGTATGTATATGTTTATAAATAAAAAAAAACTTTTATAATTCTTTCCAAATTAAAAAAATATATTTATTTTGACATATTTATTTATATCTACAATTGCTATGATTATTCTACTCCTTCATTTTTATTTCTTTTATTTTCGTACTTTTTGTCTTCCGTATAACTTCTATCACTTTCTTTTCTTCCTTAGTTTTTTATTAAAACCCCAGTTTTGAGTACAGTCATGTCACGTTATTATA